CTACCGCTACTGCTACGACTACGACTACGACTACGACTACGTCGACGACTACTACTACTGCTACTGCTACTGCTAGTAGCAAAACTGAGATGAAGAGTGATACTATCCCGAATAATGGCGACAATAATCATAACGCGTACTAATACAGTATGCCATGGCCTCACCTCTGCACTGAGTGGTGCACCAGGAAGATATTGATATGCTTCTTGACCATGGACTCGGTGAAACTCGCACTAACGCCGCGCTCCTGCGCGTCAAGGCCCCCTTCCCCACAAAATCCGAACGAGCTTCGGGGTTCAAGATATGTTGGAGATTCCATGAGGCTTTCCGGAAACACCACTCTTCAAGCTGATCGCTTACCTATAACGTTTGTCCTGAAAGTCTGGCCCGGCCCAGAAGAGCATTGACTCATCAACGATGACCCAGCCTGTGCTGTCTGACTCAAATTTAAACGCGTGCGAGCCATTGGTCTTGGATCAGGATACGGATCATTTAGGACAAGTCCTTATGACACCAGCTTCTGCTTCCTGCTGAAGGAGCTCCTGGAGTGGCTGTTACACCTTTAGCAGAACCAAGATCGGGAGTCTGCTGCGACGCGGTAGACTTCAGCAACCAACAGCTCCATGCTCTTAAACGTCTTACACTGCGTGCGTTCTTACCAGCACCTTGGTCCCGGGTCTTAGCACAACTTCCGGAAAGCTGAACCTACTCGGACCTACTCTCCGGGCTGCTGGCTGCCAGGTGCAGCATGCTCCGAGATCCATGCCTGCAAGCTCAGTGGGAAAGAGCACTTTGTTGATGTCGAGGGTCTCGAGAATATCTACGTTGAGAGATGGATCACAACATGGGGCTTTCTGGACCGAACATGTCTGTGGCCACTCTGTACTCACAGCCATGAATCTCCATGTCTCGCGGTATTCTCTGCGCCACACCGGCGTGTGACTGGTTTCCTTCAACAAGCTGCTGCCTCCATCTCGGACCGCTCCAAGAAATCGCCCGTTGGGTTGTTGGGATTCACCAAGCCTCAAACTTGTATCCGATCTGTTCAGAACAGCACCGATAGCCGTGCAGAGTCTGTACCACAGCTCCTCCGATGTCTGCCCCACAGCCAGTTGAGGGTCCAAACGGCAATCACAATGCTGAGGGCTCTGCAAATAACCGAGGCGTCCTGTCCCAGCTGAGCCGTGTCTCACGGCATGATCGTCACGAAACCACCTTCCCTAGACTTTCAACATGGTATGACATGACAACAGGGACTTCTAGATACTGTGAGGTCCTTGTCTGCATCACCGCTAGTCTTTCCGGAACTCTTCAGAGGCCAGCCGACAGAATCATTGACACGACTTGCTCTAACCCTCATCCAAAGCATCCAGCGTCGGCGCTCCTTGGGATTCTTGGTGCCTCATTGTGTGGCAGTCACACAGTGTCACAAGGCTTCATCCAGAGGAGTTTCCGACAGGGTGCACAGCCCAACAACGCTTCTGGAGATCAAAACTCACTGCACCAAGTGCTGGACACTCTCTCCCTGCATTGTCACAGGCCCGCTGATACCTGTCATCACCGCCACGGGTGTGAAACAACTCTTTGCAATGCCTCATCCCTTCAAAGTCTCAACTTGCATGCTCAAGCCGTAGAGCCTCATGATCATGTTTTGTGTTCAGTCAAGAGAAAGGAACCGATCCAGCCCCCATCCTAGCACATGCCCTGAATGATCCAGGACTTTACGCGACTCCGTCTGTCGTGCGCTGGGTGCCCCGCTCCCGGTACTGAACTTCCGTGAAGGGATTGAGACCTGAGGGCCACCCGGAAAAATCCGAAACCCGAAACACCCTGAACCCTAAACCCCCAACCCTCAGCCCCGAAGCCCAGGCCCTGAGCCCCAAACCCTGGCCCAGAAATGACTTATACACTCATCCTCAACACCCTGAACCCTAAACGCAAATCCCTAATCCCCAAAACCCTGAACCCTAAACCCAAATCTTCAATCCCTAAACCCTGAACACCCCTGAACCCCAAACCCTAAACCCAAATCCTCAATCCCTAAACCCTGAACACCCCTGACCCCCAAACCCTAAACCCAAATCCTCAATCCCTAAACCCTGAACATTCCTGAACCCCAAACCCTAAACCCAAATCCTCAATCCCTAAACCCTGAACATCCCTGAACCCCAAACCCTAAACCCAAATCCTCAATCCCTAAACCCTGAACACCCCTGAACCCCAAACCCTAAACCCAAATCCTCAATCCCTAATACCCTGAACCCCGAACCCTAAACCCAAATCCTCAATCCCTAAACCCTGAATCCCCAAACCCTGAAGGCAGCAACAACGGGAGCGCCCAAGGCCGAGCGTCCCGGCAGTACTTTCCTTGTGGAGCAGCTCTGCCCTTGCCAACTCCCAGAGGGGTTTGGTTTTGTAAGTATCAGTATTCTTAATATTAGTATTCTCAAATTACTACTATTATTACTACTACTAAAATTGTTGGCATGATTGTTAATATTATTGTTACTGCTCGTATTAGTTGTGATTGTTATTACGCATTATTATTATTGTCATTCTTGTTCTTGTTACTGTTGGTCAGTATATGTTAGTATTCTTACTATAGTGCTTAGGGTTTTGACATGTAGGGTGCTGCCGTGAGGCAGGAACTTGGTGGGATACCCCCAGGAGTCCGTTTGTGCGACGGGCGGCAGCAACATGCGATTGCAACCACTTAAGCACCTGCAACAAGCAATCAAGAGTCCGGCCAACAAATCTATGAGCTCACTGGCGCCGTTGCCGAAGATCAGCTGGGAGCGCGTGACCTGCATTGGGGCCTTAATAATTAGAATAGGGTTTTGGGACCCATTATACTATAACTATAATAGGGTTTTGGGACCCATTATACTATAATTAGAATAGGGTTTTGGGACCCATTATACCATAATTGTAATAAGGAGCCCCCATTATACTATAATTATAATAAGGAGCCCCTAAAAGAATCCCTCGTCCATCACAGCTCTCTGACGGCCTCTGCATTCGCGTCGCCACGCAGGAATGCGGCCGTCAGAAGCTCCAGCTCGTCGTCTGCCCTTTTCGGGTAATGCCTCGGCTATTTAGGGTTTAGGGTTTAGGGGTTTAGGGTTTATAGGGTTTAGGGCTTAGTTCGGGGGTTGGGGTTTAGGGTTTAGGGTGTGGCTTTCGGAAAACCATCCGACGTGCGTTTGCCGGCGATGTTCACTGCAGGACACCGGGCAAACCTTTCTTACGGACACGACGACCCGTCACGAACCTGCTTATTGCGGCATTTGCAAAGGGTTCTGCGTAACACTAAAAAGGGAAGGCTAAAGATCAACCTACAACAGTTGCTGCCTGGTAGAATCTACAACAAGAGTAAGCGATGGTGGTCATCTCACAGCACCTTGAAGTGATTAGTTATTGTACCACGCTGATGACACTCCTGTCCAGCACTGCATGCTGGGGATGCAGCTCGATAGCTGCATTAGAGGATACCTCGCCGGAGATTCCTGAAGAGAGGCGAGTGCAAGCGTCTAGCCTAAAACTCCTCGGCGACCAGCTCCAAATGCCCAGAACACCAGCAACTAATATGTTTTGTCTCAAACATCCAGGCCCTCTGCTTAGAATCGTGCTCGTCTGCCCCTTGTTGTCGCAGTACCCGGAGCTCTGTTGATGCTGCATTCCACAATGTGCACGGGCTGATGGCCTGTACATTCGCCGGCCTGGTTGCCAGACTGCCTCTGCGGATTGAAAGACAGGTCACTAACGAACACTGCCTACATGCCTACATGCTGTTTCTGCAAGACCATGCCGTGCCAGGCATGGTGGACGTGCTCAAGCGTGCCAGAATGATCTAGAGGACCCGAAGCTATCCTTTTCATCCGAAGTGATGTGCGCTAGCTTGTGCGGCGGGCCTTGCATCGCCCTTATTAAAGGGCATGCTCCAAACGCCTGCACTGCCGTGATCGCCGTTTTCAAAGAGTCGCCTGGCAAAGATCGTGTGGATCAGCGACGAGAAGTCTCGGACTTTGTCGGACTTCCCCGCCTCACGGCATCGAGTGCCCCGGGCACAGGTCCGAGCGCGTTGGTGGTGACCTGCAGAGGCCAGGAGCCTCCACACACTCCGACAGAGGCTCAGAGCTGAAGTCCGGACAGAAAAATCGCAGACCAGTCGCTCCACCTCGCAGGAAAAAGCACCAAAGCCGCTACCTTTCAGGCAAAGCGAAGGCCTTGTGGATGTCGTCGCCCCCGTGGGTCTCTGCTCCAGCCTTCAGAAGGGCAGGGAGGTTGCGACGTCTCTATCAGGCTGATCTAACCAGGCAACAGCAGTGCGGGATTCAGCAGCTGATATCACCATTGAAATCGGCGCTGAGGCCGCAGCGAAACCTCGCCGTGCAGTGGCCTTATCACCAGTATAGCAAAAGAGAGGATGCGGGCAGCAGTGGCGTCAGAGTGGCAGCCCTCACAACACCTGCACCAATCAGGGCCATGCGACGGCAATGCGCCGTGGAAGTCGAAGCGCGCTGAAGCATCTGGCCTTCAGGGTTTAGGTCTTCGCCTCACGGATTCTGGGTGGGGCTGGGGACGGATGTTCCCCGGCTCGAAGAGTGTTACGCTACTTTAAGGCGTGTTTCGTGATGGGACTTTGGGAAGACATGAGATGCACAAAAGTTCAAGATGATCTTGCTGGACCCAACGACGAATCTGCGATCCACCAAGCAGACAAATTAAATGTCTCCATACGAGACCGTGTGCCCTGCATTGCCCAACCGAGAATTCCTAGCAAGGAGCAGCGGCGGGAGGTCGCTTCTTGTTCGTTGGGGAATTTCCAAGGACTGGTGGGCGCAACGGTATAGCTGCCTGTGAAAATATCGAAACGAATGCAGAATTACAACCCAAAGCCATAATTTGCGGAGCTATCAAGCTCTCTCGGCTTGACTCTCGCGGCTCAGACGCTGCCTGCCGCATGCATATTGCAGCCATGTTGGTCTGAACCGAAAGAAGTTTACAAATTGACAATAAGAGTAGCAATGACTAGCAATGGGAGTAGAGACCTTGCCTTCCACCTCATTTTTAGGTTTGAGGTTGCGGTCGCTTGAGCCAACCGTGGCTGCAAAGGGCAACGACAAATTCAATGCGAAGCCATCATGGCGGCTTACTGTTGCAGCTCGTGCTACCGTTTTTTGGAACCGTGCCGACTTTCCTTAGGGTTTAGCATTCAAGCTTGTAAGTTTCCGACATGTTCCAACACATAAACCATGCAAAGTCACGAAGCAGGTTGACAAAACGTGCCCTTAAGGCACACAAAACAAGACGTGGATAGCTGCAGCAGAAGCCGTGCAAATGGTGACAGATGGTGACGGGCACGCCGAAGTCGTACCCAAAACACACCTGGCCTGAAGGCACTGTCGGAAGGCGAAAAGGACAACACCTAACCCCGGCACGAAACCGCAGGCTGCTGCAAAACCCTCGCAAACGCCGACTGCGGTGACTTCGCGCTACTATGCTACTTTGAAGTTCTGAATTGCCAGAAAGATACACCGCTCCGTGTCCATCATGCATGGGTTAAGCACCTATTTCCCATGCAAAAAACTGAGAGGTCGCCAACCGTAGCCTTGCTTGTTCCGTTCCGGCTTCACTACTATGTCAATCTGTGTAATCTGCCGTTGACCCCTCCATCTATCCTTAGCTATCCTTGGGGTGCTCTGTTGAGAACTTTTCACTGCGCTTGTCCCGGAAAATGTCTCTGCAGGTTTTCCGGGAGAACTTTGAAGCGCATCACCATTCCAAGTCTCTTGTCTGCAATGATTTGCATGTAGCATTTGACACTGCCGCATGTTCTGGATCATTATGCAGACGCTGAGATCTGGTCGTTAACGATGCCTGTGCGAGGCTTACACAATTATGCCACTGACAGGCAACATGAGTAAAACAACGTCCTCACGCGAATCTGTGCGCCGACTCCAGGGAGTGGACGGGTCGACTGATCAGTAGGTTTCCATCACGCGCAATGCCTTCCACGGGCATCCATGGGCAAGCTCGTGCAACGCGAACCATGATGGCGTGCCGTACTGGCAATGCCACTGCCTGGAACACTGCTTGAAGCAGCCGCTCGTAGATCACGAAGAAGACAGTGCACCTGAAATGACTGAATCCCAAGCTGTGAAACCTAAGCTCCAAACCAAATGCTTCTCTGGCAAACGGTTGCCTACGCAAGACTGAGCTTGGGGCCAAATCAACTTGCGACAAACGATCAGAGCAAAGCCCTGCCACAGGTGGTTCCGAGAGTTGCAAGGTCACCCTAGGTCCTATGCAACTATCTGCCGTCCTCCCTGTAGTGATCCTGAATGACAGTTCTGACAATGCTTGAAAAGACTTGCTACAGCGTGTGACCACAGTAACAAGATGAATGAGAACTGGAATCAAAAGTGTCACTATAGTCACTAGCAATGAACACCATCAATCATCGTCATCATCATGATATGCACTTCGGGTCCACCACCGTCATCATTCCAGCAGTCACTATGCAGAATACTGGTGCGCATTCATCTCAGACAGCGGCTGGAGGGTGGCAAGGGAGGTGTGGCCTTGTACAGGGCCAGGAAGCCTTCAAGACCTCCGCGTGTCACACCCAGGAGACAGGGGGCTGGATTTTGGAGTTATAAAACTACGATTCCGGTTCAGGTGGCACAGCCTGCCCTAAAGTCTGCATAAGAGCCCATTGCCTTGCATAGTGTATGTAAGAAAGCCTCCCAATTTGGAGCTGACTGCCCGCTCCCCAGCCGCAGTGATGGGCAGAATCGCTTTCTGGCTCAGCGGTGCTTGAAGCCAACCGGAGGCTCTTTGTCGTTCATGTAGCTGCGATGGAACAACAGCATGCTTCCAATCCGAAAATGGACAAACACTCTCAACATCAAACTCCGACATCCTGTACGTCCCTTGGAGCAGTGTGACACAGAATGAGCCACAATGAGCTACAGCCACAAGTGGCGCTGAGGCCTACAACTAGTCCCAGCTACGTGGCAGCTCCAATGCTCCACAAAATCAGGCAGCATGGAGAAAATGATGCATGCAGGGCCCACGCGTAGGATGCTGCACAGAGTGTGCACAATGCCGCGGTATGCCTCCCAAGCAGTTCCGGAATACCACGATTCAAGAAAGAGGAGCTTTTCTGCATATGTCGTGCCATCAATGCAAACATGCAGTTGTTGAAGAATCTTACTACCTCTTAAATATCATACATGATTGGACCGCCTTTGTCGCATACCATCTCGAGAAACTGATGTTGTCTCGAGATGCGATAGACATATACCTATTACGTACACACACACACACAGACATTCTTATTCTTAATTGTCTTACGTCGAAGGAAGGATTTTCGGAGGTCTCTACGAAACGAAAGTTTCTAATCTTGTAAAACTCAAGAACGGCAACAGCTCGAAGAGTATCCATGAGGCATCCAGCATTCCCAGATGCATATGTGTGTGTATATGTTTGCTGCACGCGTGTGTGTGTGTGTGTCTGTATACATATACATGTATGATGTAAATATACACAATATATATATATATATATACATATTCCATTTCAAGCGATCATTCAATCGGAGGTTCGGCACGCCGGCACAGGCACGCGCCTGGTCGGATCCAGCCGCATTCATGAAACGGGTCTTGACGACGTCCGCTGGTGTCGAGACCTACAGAAGTCTGCGCACAGGCTCTAAGTCGCCAGAGAGCTCAGCTGAAAAGGAGCACTTCAGGCTGAAGCTCTGGATTTTTGCTTGGTTTCCTGGGGCGCGGGCGCACGCTGAGGCCAAGCCGGCAACGAAGCTGGCGCCGACGTGAGCAAACTGAGGGGAGCACTGAAGGCAGTATTCGAGCTTCGAAGATGGAAAGCTTTAGGCGCAGGGGTCCAAATGTTGAAGGAGAGCCGAGCGAGGAGCCAATCAACTCAGCAAGGCTGGGAACCAGTCAAGTCCGTCCCCGGCTGACTCAATCAGCACCAGCTTGGACTCGTCGTAAGTGCCTGCACATCTCCACATTGCGCTCGCATCATCTTGGAAACTGTTGCGACTATCGATGACTCTCGCCCTGGTCTGCCCAGGTTACACCCCAGACGACTGCAACAGAGACTCTGCTTTTCTACCGCAGAAGCTGCACATTGACACGAGGCTCAGCCAAAGGCCTATTTCGGCGCCATTTACCAGAAACGTCCTGTCTGAAGGGAGCCCACGGGTGAGCTTTCATTGCTACGCAACTGATACACTACGTTCATGAAACCCAGCACAAATGGTACTTAGCATTATAATCGTACGACTGCTACTGCACAGCTGCTGCTGCTGCTGCAGCTGCTGCTTGCTGCTTGCTGCTTGCTGCTGTTGCTTCTTCTTCTACGACGACAACGGGGACGACGATTGTTACTGCGGTTTCTAATGCTACCGCCACTACATAGTACTAGTACTGGTATCGCTGGTAAGCCCTGCGCTACACTTCCAGTTGATCTCTTTCCTCAACAGTGCGACGCTACTTGTAGCATGCTTCGTCGAAGATTAGGGCTGCTGCGGCTCATATTCCTGCTCCTATTACATCCTATTACCATCACTACTCCTGCTGCTACTCCTTCCACTACCACTGCCACGACGACGACAACAACACAAACGAGAACGACGGCCGCATCGATGCCGGCGGCTGCGGTGGAGGCGGCTGCAAAGACAACGAAGATGACAAGTGTTGCCAGTCTTCCCATGATTTTTGCTGGACGTTCAGAACGGGAGCCAGCTACACGCAGCTTGATGAAAGAGGGCAAACGTCGTGTGAGCTCTGGGGCCATCAACCAAGAAGTCGTCGGTTGTTTGTCCCGCTAGGGTAACTAACTCTTAGATGAGTTCTTGGGTGGTCCGTCATGCTGCTCCGCAAGGTTGCAGATGGAAGGCTTCCCGACACAGCAGTCCTCACGACGTTAGGGCGAACTCCGGCCCAGAAGCCTTTTGCGCCGTCCTTCTTCCAGACCTCAGGTGCTAAGTTCAGATCACACATCTTCTCTCGCACTCCTTGGACGCCCCTTTGCTCATTCGAGCCGCAAGACCTGAGGCTCAACGCCTCTGTTGCACATTACTCTATCAGGGGCATGTCCGAGGCAGCAGCCTTGGATGCGACCTGCTAGGCCAGGTAGGATATGATATGTTTCCCAAAGGTTTAATGACAAGAGCATCACGGGAGAGCCATGGGTGGTAAGGAGCGTGTCGCTGAGGAGATTCCTGCCCCCACCCATGCGTAATTTTGCAAAACTTGGGTCCGGAACTTGATCTCTGGAGTTGAGGGCGAGCATTAAGCGGTCGATCCCTCCAGCCCACCGTGGAATCTGAACACCGTTTTCGAAACGAAACTACTCGAACAAAACAGAAACTAAACTCTACACTAAGACTGAACATCAAGCATCCCTCACCTCCCGCATCGTTAGGCTGGCGGAGCTGCTCTGTATCTGGGTCTTGATGACCTGATCGATCTGAAGTTTGAGTGTAGCACTACGGGATGAGGCCCCTAGGCAGTCGCCTGCTTGGAACGGACCGCTAGGCGTGTCATGGCTGGCAGTTAGGGAGCTTTGAAGGTCTCCGTCAGTCTATGCCGATGCACTCTGGAGCTTTTGAAGGATGGTGGCTGGGCCCTCAGTTCTCACAGGCTTCCAGCAGCGGAAGCTGCTGGGTGCCCATAACCTATGCCTTGCAGTGTCAGGCAGCGAGTTCTCGAACACCAGAGCCGTTGCTAATCTTTAGTCGGCGAGTGCGTCCAATCCGCACAGTGCTGCACGTTCAGGCAGAAGGTTAGAAGAAGTCTGAAGGATACTGAAGGTCTAGTCGGAACAATGAACAACACCAGGAGCCCCAAAATGACACTAAACCTCAGCCCTCGGCCTCCGTAGGGTTGAAGAGGGCAATGGCGATGGCCGCCGAGGTTCCCGCCGACACGAGCCGCCTTGGCCCAGCGAGGAGTTGAGGATCTTGTCTCTTCTCTTTCTGATGAGCTGACAGGTCATTAGGCCTGCTCTTTAACTCAACAGTCCAAGAGGCTCCATATCCATATCTGACTCCATTGAAAAGGGGATGGGTGGCAAAGAGGAGGCTACATAGGAGACATCCGATTCAGACCGAGGTCCCGCACAGGAGGTACGTGGTCTGACCCGGCTCCATGGCCAGCAGCGCACTTACCACATCCTCAGATCACGAGACTCCAGCCATACAGGACTGTTGCATTTGAGGGCTCCCTTTAAGCAGCATATCGCAGCATATCACAATACGTTTTTCGTGATAAGCCGCCCTCCTCACCCAGAAAGGGAATGCCACATCCAGTACGAACAGAGACAGATTTAGAGCTTCTGTGCTCTGCCAGATCTTGAGGAGAAAACTACGCGCGCCGGATCTACAACTCAAGGGGCCGAAGTACCAACGGACCCAGTTTCAATGCCTCTCCACCAATCCCGTTCCATCGTGTCAGCCCGCGACCCGGATTGGCTCGTAGAGGACGAAGGTGAATGAGTGGTAGGACACCTTGCAAGGTCAGAGGCAATATGACAGCTATGTTGAGACGAATAGTAGGAACGAGTACTAGTAAGCACAACCACTGCGCCAGCGACCCCATGAAACCATGGTGCTGCACGAAAAGAAGGCGTCATCGATAATACAAACGGGCGAGACGACAAGGATGTGTTTTGCTTCTCATTTCTCAAACTGACGTTGTCGAACCGAGCTTAGCACGAGGTGGCTGTTGATCGGTCGATCTGTGGAGCTCCAGTCGAGGATTTACATCGACTCCAATAGCCGTCAATGGTTACAAGAGCGAGGAGAATAACTATAATGAGTGGGGCTCAACTATCTCAAGCAAGATGTCGTAGGAACACCGTGCTGCTGGTACCGTAGACAAGCCTTCCAACTGTTGCTGCTGCAAGTCGCCTGCCGCACCAGCGCCGGTACGAGACCTTTCCACAACCTCGGCCGACAATGGGGTGGAGAGCCTGCGAAGCACCCGGTGTGCTCGTCTTTATTTGATGACTGCGACGGTTACTCTGCTCCTCCTCCTGCTCATCGTTATCGGATAACGGTTATCCTCGGCATCAGTATCATCATCATCATCGTAATCACATGATTTAGGATCGTTTCCTGTCCACTGCCACGCGCCTCTGATCACTGCATTCCATGCATCAAGCAGGAAATTTCACGAGGTCTGCAAATATTAGCAATCCTAGATTTCATGTCTGACTGAGTCTGCAGGGTTTCGCCACTTGCGCCAGGTGTGCATGACGGATGTAGGCGCAGACTATCGCAGACTGCACAAGGATTACTCTAGTTCCCTAGCCACAACTCTCAGATGTCGAGTCCGTGGCGCTCCCAGTCCCTCAACTTTGGCGACCTCAAGAACTCAAGAGAAGTAGCCCCATAGCTCGCCAGGCTTTTGTAGGATGCTACTGCCATCGGGAAAACGATTCAGAAATCCGCTGTACGCAGGACGTCCAAGTGAAAGTAACTGCTAAGTCTTCACGCCGGCCTTTACGATGCAGTCCATCATGCCGTGGTACCTGCGATACTCCCCAGCCAGAGCTGCGTAGATCCGTCACATGATGAGTGCTGATATCAACAGGTCTGTTGCCATGACCCCCGCTACACACAACACAGATGAAAGCCATCGAAGAACTAAAACTAAAGTATCCTCCTCTGCCCTAAGTCCTAAGTGAAGTCTCCGTGCAGGCCTAAGCTCGCCATCCGAACTGCTTTGCAGTTGGAGTCGAACCTGATCCAAAGTCGGCTGGACAGAGTGAGGTGTGAGGCGGGGGCATGGGTTTATAGAGTTCCAGAGTCTTTCCTCCAGCTCAGCCTGAGCAGCCGGGAAATTGAAGCAAGCTGCACAGGAGTCCTGCTTCAAGAACTGGGAACTGCTCCACACCACCACCACCCCGTCAAGCCCCTCACATTGCTGTGCCCGCCTTGGCCACATCCGCAGGTAGTGTGGCAGCCTGCTCGAAGGACAGAACTTGCATCGCCCTCTGCAGCCGCGAGCTTTGATAGCCGTCCTTTTAGATTCGAGGGTCTGAGCCTCTGCAACACCGGCGCCGATGGCTGAAGCAACCAGCCTCGATGTGTCGGAAGCAGTGATACAATGGTTATTGCATGACTCATGATATTGCTAGCTATGTTACAATGTTACGTGCAAAACAGCCGTTGTTGCGCTCGTCAAGGTTGCGACATCCTATGACGGCATTGCCACGGTAGCCAGTAGCAGCATCACCGGCAATGCCGGCAAGGCACGAGAAACATGCATTGGCCATGGAGAGGTCAGGGGAGGGGATGGGCTTGAACGAAGAAGGCCCAGCTCTTCAGAGTCAGATATCTCATTGCACGTTCAATACGACATGTCACGGTGTACATGTCAGCCATGCCCCTGGCCGCACAAGCGCTGCCGAGCCGGAATCCATCGCCTCCTGCAGTTCGACAGCTGTGCGTATGGACTGTCCATACACTGTCTGCTTAGCTGCTTTCTGGCCTGAACTCTAAAACCTACACGCTGAAACCCTCGCTCTCAGCAGGCAACAGTGAGCGTCAACTCAACTGCTGTCAAAAGCAGGCCGTTGTCCCGCCTGAAAGTTAGTTGCAATCTTCTGGCATGGCAAGATCTCAGCCAATGAGTGCAGGCTTGCACAGGGTTTTCTGCTTTGCGTAGCCCACAAAACAAAGCTAGACAGCCGTTACGATTACTGAAATGTAAAGTCACTGTCTGCATCGCACGGGCTACTGTTCCAGCCAAGTCGGCATAGTAGTACAACATGCTGGGCTTGATTGAAGCATGTTGCTCATACTACGCCGGTAGAACACTTCTGGAGATTAACTCTAAACCCAGACCGAGCGGTAACGGCTCTGACACCTTGCATCACCGTCAGCAGCAGCAATAAAATCTTAGCACATCTTGCCACGGCAACCGGAACTCGCACGGCACTTTATCTATACTATACTCTACTCTATACTCTACTATATATATTAAAGTATACTATACTACATTATACTACATCCGCTATACTACATTAAACTATGTTATTATACCATCCTACTGCCTCGGCATTTGTTATTTTCAGCCGCACAGGAGTCGACCTCATCAGGTCGGTCCTCTGAGTGCTTGACGCTTGACCCCGGCTCGATACATGGGTAGCTCTCTAAATTAGGGTCCCTGTTTTTGGTCCCCAATACAGTACGGCAGCCTTACAAGAAGGACCCTCAGAGGAAAGCTACAGCTAGGCCCAAATTTAGAAAAACTACCCACTTCGCGAACAGCAGGCAAACTCTAGTACGCAGCCGCGGCTATTCTGCCCGACTGCGCAAAGCGGAATCTCCTCTCTGGCCCTTCAAGTCCGTAGGTGAGATGTTCTTGTTCTCAGGACCTCCAGGAAATCCGTCAAAACCTGCAAGATGGCTGCCCGCGTTAAGTGCAAGAGGAAACACAGAAGAATGCTGCCTGGTGATTCTTTCTTGTGCTTGTGCCTGTGCAGTGCTATGCAGATTGTGGGCAGGCAGGCTTCGGGATTTGCACCTCTGCGTGCTTCGCATGTCAGGAGTGCTGAAAAAAGTAATTGTTCTGATCGTAATAGGATGCCGCAAGTGCTGCTTGGACCCTTATCGGGTTGCAATCGTACGGCTAGTTAGCACATATGAGGATCACGTGTGCAAGCAGCTGCAAGCATCATAATCGACCACTTGCGGACCATGCCATCGCATGGTTCAGGTCGTGCATTCCGATCGCAGCGCCCTTGAGCAAAGACCTAGAAGGCTGACACTATGCCACCACGTTGGAGGCATCAAGGAAAGATTTTCTGACCATCGCCGGGGGCTAACTGCGGCCAAGCCGTCATTAAAAACCTCAGAGGCACAAGATGCCTGAGACGAGAGCTTGGGTGGCTTGCCCGTTCGCAGCTCGTCTTCACCACCTCTGCGAACTCACCACATGTCCCGCTTTAAGGGATGCGGATCAGAGGCCTCATGGCAGAAAGTAGCGGCGGC